CTCCTTTTCCACACTCAGATGACCTGCCACTGGAATACCAAGCGCATCAACGGCCAGACGTAGAGCACCAAGTCCGTCAAACAAACCTACGGTCAACACTTGCGTGGTGTGAATCTCCTCCGGGATGTCTCCTCTTACTTCAGAGTCCAGTGCGGCCACACCATACCCGTGAGGCCTTCGCTCACACAGAAGCCACCTCCTGCTGTCGACGCATCGCTACAGGTGACATGCTCCCCCAGAGGTAGCTTAAAGCTCATCTGCGCTAAGGGACACAGCAAGATGAACCTCAATAGTTCTCTCATGACCTGCCTGGGCAACGGCATGCGCACAACTGGGGGAAATCGCTTCATGCGTTCCATGAACCTCCAAACCTTGTTGAGGGCGCACAGCAGGGGCCTACGGAACATGCAGAAGTACACAAAACCACCACAGACCACCTGTAGCTCCTTCAAGGTGCAGTACCTCCGTTACACAAGACATAGGCCCAGGAACACGTAGAGAAGGACTTTCTCCGGGCGTGGCATGGCAAAGCCTAGCTTGCCATCAACAATGGCGCCCTGAATTTCTGCTTTGAAGGCGCGCTCCGGGACTTCTTTGGATGGCGAGGCAATCCCAAACGGGAGTACTCCTCCCCCAAAGCTTGAACTGTCTGAGACACTGTGCCCTGAATGAGCTCCGCCTGCTCTCGACTGTAGCGCTCCAGCAAGTCAAAATTGTCAAGGTAAACGCGAAACAACGAGGACGATGAAGATCCTAACCTATCACGCCTCATCTCTGTCTCACCTCCTAGACCTTGTGGGGTTGACTGCTGGCTCCACTTCACCACGTTCCGGTGGATATGCTGTGCGATCGATACACTGTTGATAAAACCCATGGGCAACACCCTGGAGACCAAGACACCATAACCTTTGGGGGTCGTGTACGAACCATGGCGTCCTCCGGAATCAAAAAGTCCTCCAGATGTTTTATGTAATGAAGGGTACCCTCAGTGCAGAAGTCGACCAACTTAAGCTGTCCAACCTGTTCGGGGAATGAATTGCGAACCGCTTCCCAACACAAAGTCTGAGCAAGTCGAATCTCCTCCCCTGCATAGGTGACCCCTCTTTTCCTGAAAAACGAATCGAAGTCCACCGGGTCCATAGTCCGATCCCAAACATCGAATCTCTCGCACAGCATGCTGAGGTTTTCCGTCAGTCCCACGGGGCTTCGGGACGGTACAGGTCCATGCCCGCTTCCTATATGGCCAAATGATTGAGGCCGAATACCAGCTGCTCACACGCCTCTCCAAACTTCTCATTGCGGCAAGGGGGCAACGGAAGTGGAAAAATACCTTCATTGGGTAAACATGGGTCATCCATTGACTGCATGCGCTCTTCGTCAAGTCTCTCAAGAAGAACCCGTGCCGCATTCATGGCCTGGATCATGGTGCTGGGTGAAACACTGCTGCTATTGGCCTCGGACTCACGTATCGGACTTTCCCTTCTCTCTGCGTCCTTTGTCCTTGTCTTTGCCTTTGCCTCCTTTCGACCAATCCCTTTCTCCTTGCCACTCCCACGCTCGACCTCGGGAGTTTCGATAGTGAATCCGCTCCTCCTGCAACACCTCTTTGCCTGCCTTCGACGCCTCGTTGGAAGCCTTTTCGGGCCCCACCAGCTCTAACCTTCTTGCGATGTCTGATTGGACTCCCTTTGCGATCTGCTCCAAGCTCTTGATCCTCTGGGAGGCCACGTCCAACGCGGCAGCGGGCCGTCCTCGCAGCATCAAGTCCACCACCAAGCACCAATGCTGCATTTCCCGACCCATGACGGGACCGACCTGACTCTGCAGACGCTGCCGGTAGTACTGGCTGGCCACTGGGGGTAGGCTTCCCTCGCTGCTCGAGCTCAGGAACCCTTCTGTTGTCATCAGGCTTTGCCTCATGTCTTGTAGCACCCCGCATGACAGAGCTCCAGGGACCCTTTTCCATATCTGCAAGCGATCTGTTTTTTTGCAAGGCTTGATGAGGTAGTAGAACTGTCGCTGTCCTGATCCTCCCTCCCTCGGCTGCGGGAGCGACTGCCCTTCTTCTTCTTCTTGCCTCGTCAGATCTTTCTGGCCTTTCGCATCATGGTCTTTCTCACCTGAGGATTCGGATCGACGCCCGTGCGATCGAACACGTTCTTCAACGGGACCTCCAAGCACGGCCTTGTCTTCTCTTTCTCCTTCTTCTTTACCTTCTTCTTTGAAGCCTTCTTCTCCTTTTCTCCCTCGACTACGGGAGCACCCCCTCCTTCGGGGGAGTAATCCTCTGCAGTCACCCCGTCCACGACGCGCTTCATCTCTGTCCTCAACTTGGCCAGTTGATCTCCGGTGTCGGGCTCCTCTTCCATGCCAGCCTCGAGCATCCTCCAGGTTTGTCCACCACTCCTCGACTGGATCGGACTGAACTCGTAAGCTGTTGTTCCACACCTGGTTCTCGCAAGGCTGACTGCAGAGGTGGACCCCCATCTCCTTGCAACGTCCTGCGACTGCTTTGAGCAAGCTCTCTGACTGAGTGCCCGTGGCCAGAAGCCTCAACTTTCGATCTCCTCCCGCGCGGAAGTTCAGGCCGTTCACGACTCCCGCGACCAGGCATGGAGCCTCCCAGTACCTGCCTTCCACGATCACCTTGTCCAGGCCTCCAATCTCTTCCATGGACAGCTCCGGGATGGACCTCCACATCCCACTCGCTTCTCTTGCATCCCTCTCTCCAGGATGTAGTGCAGGCCTTCTCAACACTCCTTCTCGTCCTCCTCGATGGCGACCGGGGACCACAGCTCGACCGGCCGGCCTCCGAAGCACCTTGGGTGGCATCACCTCCTGCCTTGCTCACGATCGTACTCGTTCCACAGCCTGTAGTTGTAACCCTGGGACTTTGGGAAGGCTCGGTACTCGCTCCAAGCTGCAACGTCTGTATGCCCCGGCGGCGGATGATCGGGCTCTTGCGGCTTCCTTCGAGGCAGGACCTTCCTTTCTGCCTCCCTCGGACTCTGCACGGGAGGAAGCTCTTGTCGATGGAGGTGGGGCGGCTCTTCATGCTGCTGGGTCAAAATGGGATGGCCTTGGCGGTGACTTGGGACGTGCTGCACGTTCTGGTTCAGTTGAAGCCTTTGTCGAACCTTTGCTTTCAGGTGCTGGGTCAGGTGACCTAGGCTTCTTTGGGCTTCCTTTTGATCGGACGTGGCTCCGGGAGCGTCTGCTTCTCCCACGACTGGTACTTCTGTCTTTCCTGGAGGACTTTCTTCCTTCCGACCGACGGCGACGATGTCGAGACCTGGAGCGCTTCCGCTTTTCACCTCGAGGACTTTGTGGAGGAGTACAAACGGGAGGTTCCTTCACTCCTCCCTCTCGGCGACCACTGGGGGCTGAAGTTGCGCCTTCTTCTTCACTTCGTTCTTCCTTATCTGAGGACACCTCCTTCTTCTCCTTGACCTTTACGGGAGTGGCAGTTCCCTCTGAGGTCCTTTCTTCTTTGAAAGCGGGTGTAGTATAGGTGGCAGCTCCTACACCCTCCTTCGAATGCCCCTCCGCCTCGTCGAGAAGCTCCAGGTAGGTCTCCCGAAGTCTTCTCACACAAGCTCGTGAGAACTCTGGCCACCAGTAGGAGCAACCGCTGGGAGATCAGGCACAACTGGCAGCGGCAAGACCGCCAGTCATGCACCTCTCCCATGAGCTGAAGCCGAGAATCTGCGGAACACAAATGCGGGATTCGTCTTTAAATACGAGTACGTAAGTCATATACACACCCTGGGCTTCCAGCCACAGTTGATTTGATAGCGATTGCTTTACTAATTGAATGGTTTAGACATGTTTAGAAGCATGTTTAGACTACAAACCAGGTCAACCTTTAGTGGTCTTGGAAGGCTTGTGGCACTGGCACTGGTTGGTTGCTTCAGAGGTAGATGTCCAGCCTCTTCGTTATGCAAGGCAAATTTGGCGGCCATCGCTGGGAAAAAAAGACTACGGCGTAGTTGGTGACCCTGGTATTTTTGGTGATTTTGCCAAGGAGAAATTGCTCAACAATGGCAATGAGGTCTATTTTTGCGATTTCATCTTTGGAGTGCAAGAAGTGGCAGACGTGGTGTTTCTTTTTATAGTGTATTTTAGAGGACTCCAGGTCTTTTTCTGCTCAATTTCTGGTTTCAGGTGGGACGTTTTTTCGTGGCAGTTTTTTTTTGTGATTTGTATTGATTTTTGTTATATAGAATAGAAAATGCTAAAAGTCCCGTCTGACATACATGCAGTGGGCGGCTCCCATATCAAGCAAACGTTTGTTTCTCAGTGGCGCATCAAAGCACATCATGAACCAACGTCATTAGCCCCCCCTTGGCCCACCCTCATCCATTCAACGGAACGTATCAAACTCAACCCACATGCATACCTGCTGTCATCCAAACCGAAAAACAAAACAACTTCCTCTGGGGTCGCAAACGACGCCGTTGGCGAAAACAAGCGACATTGTCACACGTTGCTGCTTCAATATGATGGGGGCCTATAGACCGTCAAAGCTCGCAGTGAACGCTATCACATCACAAAATATTCTGTGCATTGCTCTTGAAGGAGGGCGAATTCGATGAGGTGATGCACATGAGATAGTGTCGAGCAATGACATGGGGCAACCCAATGAGATGAATCAAGCGTCAAGTGACACCAGGGTAGGTCGAAGCCGAGCAATGAGGTGCCACGAGGTGGAGTGAAGTGAGATGATGCAGGTGGAAGGAAGGATTCCTTCTGCCCCTCTACCTGGTACCTGCCAACTCAGGAGCCTTACGTTCCAGAAACCCTCTTCATTGGTTTTAAAGTGCCGAACGGACAAGGCAATTGCAAATCTTCAGAAATGTTTCTCCTGGTAAGGAGTAACTGAGTAGCAGAACTGAGTAGCATTGACAAGCCACCTCGAGTAGTATCGCCGGTTAGTTCAGCCGTTCCCAAGACGAGCCCCGTGGCGCTCCTTGTAGCATGTAGTATGGGGCAGTCTGCAGTCAAGCAACTTTCCGTTCTGCAGATGCACCCAGGATGATCTGTTGCACCGATTGGGGTGTGACTGGCTCATTCAAGCTGAAGACTTGGCTGAAATGCGTCTTGGACAGAACTTGGCGCCTTTATTGTCATCTCTAATTTGCAGAACGACAAGCACATGCGGCTGTCAACCACACTGCAATGCAAACCTGTAGAAACACCAGAAGTCACAACACCAATTGCAAACAAGGCTCCTCCTGGGCTGTTGTCGCTCTCGTTCCCTTTCGAGCTTGAAGCAACATCTGACATTGCTGCCTCACCACGTGGACCACTACTATATATAAACTTGAGCACTTGAACTTGGAGAGTCAGAGGCGCCAACAGACTCACACATGAGCCACCATCTCCATGCAGTGGCAGGAATGCTAGCTGCGACAACAGGAGCATAGAACCAAAGGTTGTCTAAATTGTTCAACGCCGCAAAAATCCAAAGCAAATTTATCTGAGAGCACCTTAGAGCATCCAAAGTTCTGTGCGGCTTGAGCTTGGCGTTGTGTTCTTTGCCGAAGCTGCTCTGCCGCCGCTTGCGCACGGAGCTCCTAATAGGACGTAGTGCGCACATACATTTACGGCAATTTATATATCTATAACTTATAACTGTATACTTATATAATATAATATCAAATAAGTAATTAATACAAACAACATTCACCAAGTCCAATTCAACATTCTGGCAGTTGCACTCCACGGCTTTGCATGTATGTGTGCATTGCGCAAAGCCGTTCACGTCAGCACCCTTCGCAAGTTAGAAGTGCCTCTAGAATCTACAGTATATAGAATGTCCTCATTCAGAGTGTTGCGAACTCGTGCTCGAGCAGCATCCCTGACTGTGGCAAGCAAGAATGCTGAAGACTCAAATGCTCAATGCTCGATCTTTGAATGCCCGTTAACACCGGCTTTCCTCTTCCAGTAACGAGGGGAAGTGGCGGATGGCAAACAAGTGAGATCCAAAAAGCCATCTTAAGGAAGTCAGTTTTCTCGGCTGCCCGAAGACTCCTAATCTGATGATATTACTCGTATGAGAAGGCGTGAACACAATGCGGCAAATTAGCAAACAAAGTTGTAGAAACAACAATGTTCAAACAAAGTCGTAGTGCCAACAACGACATCCAACTCCGCCGAGGATGAGAATGATGACCAAAAACAGAACTGCCAAAACACCTCAAGCGTCTCTGTGTTGCAGCTGCTGCGGCAGCAGTTGCTTGCTCCACCATAGAGTGGGTATGCCGTAGCTTCTCCTTATTGCAGTTCCGATCTCTCTTGTCGTCGTTGAACACATTCAATTCAATCTCCGTCAAGATCTAGAAAGTGTTTCGTACGGTGAGGGTCCTCCAACCTCGGAAAAGAGAAGCCTTGAAGAACCCTCGCTGCACTGCTACTAGTAAGCTTCCTGTCCCTTAGTAGCTCTTCTTGCCTATTTCCCATCTTATATATTTACGTTTTACTTCGTGCCGTGCTCTTCCCACCCTCCAAAACAGGCAATGGAATTTACATCCTGTTGAACATAACATCCTGTGCAGTGCAGTCCTGGATTGTGCTGCTTTGCTGCTGCAGCTGCTCGAGCTGCTCAAGCTGGTCATGGCGATTTTTCAGCTTTGCTCTCGTGGAATGTAGTTGGGCCTCGACCGCTCGGATATCTATTCAGGATGGGCTATGTACACATAGTATACACGCACATGATCGCACGTGTACTGTATACTACAGTATACATATACGCCGGTTGAGTGTGTGCAAAAGTGTGCTAACAAATAGAAGTGCAGTGCTTCTCAAACACACCCCTTCTTGCCTGCCAGGAGTCTGCCAACTTCTGAGCGCCTCCATCCGCATCCGCCTGTTTCACGGCTTTTTGTTTCTCCCCATGCAATCTGAATCTGCTCATACAAGCCCGTAAAGTTATATATGCAAAATATTGCAAAATAATGCTGGGTAAACTGCACGCGCTTGTTTTTGCACCCTTGCAGAACATCTGAACAAAGCAAAACACAGCGCACTCCTCTGATCAGCTAGCTTTGAATTGGAGGTAGAGTATCCAAAGGGGATTTTGCACAAAAAGCATCCAAAGAAAGGTACATAGGCGCAAATTCCTTGCCAGGAAGGAGATCTTCTTGAATTATTATTGAATTGAAACCGCCGCCAACTGTGTTGTTCTCATGTTGATCTCCTCTGAAATTCTTCTAGATGCCTGACTTCTTGCATGCCTTTCCAATTCCCCTTTTGAATTCCTCGCTGTTCCTTGTGAAAGGCTTGGTGCGAGATGACTGAGATGACTCAATTCAATTTTAGCTTCAGGCAACACATGGCAAAACGATCGTTTCAGAAGCTCAAACTTGCGTAACTTGCGCAATACCCCTCATGAACTCCTACTTTCTCGAGCCACGGCTTCCCATAAGACTTAGTCTACGGATTTCTGCTTCTCAAGCAACACAATTCACATGAAGTCCTCATCATGGTGCTCAACCCTTCAGACAGCCAATCTTTTTGGAAGACTTGCTCTTCAAGGGGTGCTGAGATCTAATTATTGAAATCTATTGCTAGGATCCGCATTGCCTGCTTTCAACGCACTGCTGGTCCAGCAAGGCCTTGGCATCGGGAGACCATTCTTTCCGCGGCTCAAGCGGGGCCAACGTGGTTCCTCGTATCGCCGCCAGGTCGCTGGCATCGGACCTGAGCCAAGAAATCACCATGATACAGCAGCCTCATCAAAAGACTCGAACAGAACATATATATATATATTATATATATACATATACATGTTGCATCATTTGAACAATGACCTGTTGGAAGCATCCGTAGGTGACTGTGCCTGGCAAGGGCACAATAGACAAAGGAAGTCCAACAGCACGGTGTTCCGTGTTCCTGCCTGTTGTGGTGAGCCGCATGACGCAGTGCAACCAAAGCTGAGAACACTGACCTCGTCAAATGAGCGCCTGCGAGGCAGGAAGCAGTTCTTGCATGTCCATGATTGCTAGTGGAGAAGAAAGGAAGGAAGGAAGGAAGGAAGGTACTGAATGTGCTGGAACATCGCCCAATCCAAAATATTTTGTAACAGAGGTCGAACAAGGATGAAAAGGACAAACGAATGTCAATGTCATCAACAATCTTGGTAACACTTGACTGTAATTCAGAAAAGCGGGCTGTCTTGGGCCCTACCGAAAAAGGACGACATATTCAAACCCTTCTGACCACTTGGACCCCTTTCACCTCAAAACTCAATGTTAGCGAGCCTGCCAGAGTGTTTCGGGGAATGGGCAAAACAAATCAAACCCTGGCAGCACAAATTCAATCAATAAAGTCGTGTTCAAGATTGACCTTTGGGGGTCAAGGGTTGGTGACAGTTATTGACTCAGGGGCTCAGGGCCTGAGGGGGTTGAATACTTGGTCCATCTACTGCAGTTCATGTTGTGAAAGCTTCGGCTCAGGGCCTCAGGAGCTTATTCTTGGCGTGCTGCAGGCGCAACAGCCTTACCTCTTCGAGGCGATTGATCTGCCTCGAAGGAACAATCTGCTACTAGTTGCTACTGCTCCAAGTAGTCTGACAAAGAAAACTCGCCCACAGGACTTTGCAAGGATGTCAAGAGGCCGCTGAATCGCTGAGGGTGCCAAAGTTGGGTTCTTATCTTTATCATTTGGCTAATGTCTCCGCCTCTGTTCAATTGTCACCCAGTCACCTGTTGTATGTCTCCAGCTCACCGATCCGCTTAAGCAAGGACTTCCCATGCTCATCGCAATTCAACCTTGATTTGGCAAGAAACAGGAATCTCAGGTGAAGCTCTTCAGGTTCATGGAGTGATTGAGTTCCCGGCAACATGAAAAGACCAGCGGTCAGGTGGAAATGGACATGAGCAAGGGTCAAAGTCACTGCGAGACTGACTTTGCAACCTCTAAATACATAGCATAGTATATACATATTTATACATATACTTACATATGGGTGTTGATCTAAATTCCTTCATCCGGGGTCCGTTCTTAGCCAACAAACTATTTTAGCAACATGTTGCCTTCCCGCGCTTTATCTTTCGCCGAAGTATGTTGTATTTATGTTTGCCATGTATGTTGTATGACGGATATATTTTTTCTTGTCAATGGTTTCTTCTGTAGTGGAAGATACGAAATAAAAACTTCACTGTTTGTCAGCATGCGTCTTCTACTTACAGTTGGCACCCTGTACGTCTCTTTTGTTTCTCGTGGGTGTCTGCAAGAACCAACAACTGCAAGAATCCCTGTGTTAGCCGGTCGCTTAGACTTACTCATAATGGGCTAGGGGTCAAATGTGGCAGGGTGAACTTTCGCCAATGTTGAGCTGAATGTTCGCCAAATTTTTGCCTTTTGCGGGGTAGAGTTTTGTGGCAAAGCCGCGCCCCCAAAGCAGCAGCAGGACTAGCAGTAGCAGTGGCAGGAGTAGCACCAGCAGCAGCAGTAGCAATAGTAGCAGCAGCGGGAGGAATAATAGTACGTAGTAGTAGTAGTAGGAGGAGGAGGAGTAGTAGTGGTAGTAGTAGCAGTAGTAGTAGTAGTACTAGTAGTAGGAGTAGTAGTAGTAGTAGTAGCAGTATGAATATGTAGTATGTAGCATGTAGTATGTAATAGTAGTAGTAGTAGTAGTAGTAGTAGCAGAATGAATATGTAGTATGTAGTAGTAGTAGCAGCAGCAGGAGTAGTAGTAGTAGTGGTGGTAGTGGTAGTAGTTGTAGTAGTAGTAGTAGTAGTGGTAGTGGTAGTGGTAGTGTAGTAGCAGGTAGTAGGTAGTATAGGTAGCATGTGTATTATGTATAGAAGTAGTGGTAGTGGTAGTGGCAGTAGTAGAAGAAGAGGTAGTAGTAGTAGTAGTAGTAGTCGTCGTGGTGGTGGTGGTGGTAGTTGTTGTTGCAGCTGTAGTAGTAGCCGCAGAAAGAACATCTTTAGCCATATATTTGATTAACAAATACTTTCGCCAACTCGAGAAAACCTTTCGCCAAATTAGATTTTGACATGTTGCAAGGCCATCGTCATCAACAATCCCTATTAGGACCTTTAGATCGACAACCATATTTGTTTTTTTGGTATTTGGCATGATGCGTCGCTGAGTCTACTCTTGTAATGTCAATGTTGCCTAGTGAAGTTAGAGCCCCCGGCATAGCGTAGCGCATTTCGCAGTTTCCGCCCTCAAGTAGACATGCTAACGAATCAGGACCTCGACGAGGAGATGCCGTTAAACTCGGTTTGAACAAACCTGACATGCTGATCCAAATTGTACCCCCTCGGGCCCTCTAAAAAAAAGTTTCTTGTGCAATTGCCATTCTTGCGGCATGTTTTTGAAAAAATTATATAATAGCAAGTCGTAACATGTCGTTTGGTGTGATCCAGTGGTTTCTGCAGACTTCTTGCTTGGCACGTGGCATGCACGATGCTGTGTGAATCTAAGGATGAATCGTGTCACGGGACTCATGAAAGTGTCGTGTCGGAGTCTTCCAAGTTGTTGCCTGAAAGCACAGCTGCAAAAATGGTAGATTCATGGGTTATGACCGCACTGTTGCCATGGGATACTGCGTTTCGCTCAAATCATCTCGAATGCATCTGCTGTATACAGGCACTGCTCACCGCATGTGTTGCCCGTGTACGCTTAAAAACCTCAACGATCCTTTGCGTTTTCTTTGGCATTGCAAATGCAAACTGCCAGCTCTTTGTTTGGATCACGCGGCTGCCCATATTTGTGGTCAAATGACATGAATTCCGCCGCAGAAGGCAATATGAAACAAGACGGCACGTTACCGTTAGAAGTTATATCGATGTCATGCTCTCAGTACAGCAATGCTGGAACCAATCCCTTGCCTTCCCTCGACTGGACCTGGAAGCGGTGAAAAATGTCATCAATCTACAGCCAGGAACTGACAGCAATGTCGGAAAAATGAAATATGTCCATGTAATGTTCTATGTGCGGCTTGTCTGCGGCACCATTTTGTCTCTCTGCTGTTTCTGGTCATCTTCTCCCACGGCAAGAAAAGGGGCGTGCAGATTGCAAAACCTGCTATTGATACGCCAAAAACCATGGCACCTTATGGCCATTCACTGACAGAGTCTTGTTGACTGTCCCACATCAACATGGCAAGTTCACCAAATGCCTGGGAAAATGTAGTACGGCACAGCCTGCCTTGGCAAGTCTGCTCTGCTGTTTGTTGGACGGTTTTTGGGCAACATGTGGGGTTTGGTTTGAAGCCGGAACAAATGGCGCCTCTTTAGAACCCTGCAGGCTATTGTGGCCCCCAATATTTACGCAAAACCCAAGCAAAAACAAGAAGTCTCAAAGTGAACACGGCAAAGCCACATTGCCTCCGCCACACCCTTTGCATTGTATGGGCATATGACATGTGTGACAAAAGTTGCACAAACTGCCACATTCCTTTCAATTCCGCCTTCTCTTCGCTGAAGGCATCCTGCACTTCTCATGACAATCAGTGACGCTGACGTTCTTCTTTGCATCGGTTGGTTCGTGTCTTTGAATTTTCATCACATACCTTGTTGGGTTTTGCGCCGCTTGCATTGCGCGTTTCCAGCTCACATTCTTTCGGCGTGCCCTCTCCCGACTAGCGCTCCCGCACGCAAGTCCATCTCCCTGCGCCCAAACTAGTTAGTTCGAACCTCAGGGGCACCTCAGAAGTATTCAGCCGGCCCTTTCAAACGCTTAGGGCATCGTGCTTCACTCAAGAAGCTCCAACAAGCGATGTGACTGTCCCCAACACTCCCGCGCAAACACACTGTTAATACCCACTTCGCTCGCAAATGCTCGAAGATGCAACTGCCGCGTCCTTCTGTGTCCACTGTCCTATCGCTAGAACCCGCTTTTCGGAGGTGCCCTCTTGCCCCGAGACGGGAACAAACAAAGCACGAAAGGGCACCAACAGAAGCTCCCTCCCCTTTTCAGAGGTGCGGAGATGGCCTTCAAACACACACTGCAACGGGGCACCAACCCAGAATGCGATTTAAGGGTGTTTCTTCGGCTCTAGTATCAACAATTGCGACACCACTCGCATCACAAGGGTCTTATATATATTTCTGCTCTCCCCCAGCAGGCTCTGGGTTCATCTTCCACTTTGACCTGCCCCTCCCCACACCCCCTAAAATTAAATAACTCACTTCGTTCCGCTAAAGAGACCTTCAGCCTATTGTTCGCAGATTCGCACAATTCTATCATTTGTTCAGGAAAAACTGCGGAACCCGCAGTTGCCACCCGCACAGGTTCATTGCTTTGGTTTCTCAGACTTCCAGATTGGTCCAAACCTAAAACTTTGCTAGCTTCTTGGGGCTCCTTTCACTGGACCACGCGCATGATGATGATATAAAGCCGAAGGGCTCAGAAAGAACATGAAAGAACCTTTTGACGTGGAGTCGATGAAATTACATGAAATTACTGCTGCGAGCTTCAAAGGGTTTTGTGTCATGATGACTCCCAGGCAGTTTGGCATGTTTAAAGTGTTAGCCCCCGATCCACGAATGAACTGCTTTGGGGCGCAGGGTGGAAGCTCAGACTGAAGGCAAGTCCACAGAGGCAGAGCGCTTGTGGCTTGCCTGACTGATAGGGAGTTTTACTGTGTGAGTGAGGTCAAGCCTAGCAGTAGCGCGTTATTCCTCTACCACTACCAGTTCCTATGGTAAATGTTCCTATGACTTTGGCTTACATCATTGAATATCATTGAATACGCATTGTTCCTCCTGCCCTGGCCTCATGAACATGAGGCCAGAACACCACAATTGATAAAGGGATGCTCCTCAACATGAATCAATCCTGCAGGAGGATTAATACTAACATTGGTCCATACCCAAACCTCAAACGACCTAGATCCCTTGCTGACTTGTAGCTTTCGAAATTGTCGGGAACCCAAGAGGGCACAACCCACACTGCAGTCTGCACGTTGCCCCCGAGGCAATGCATTATGTGATGTAGTGTGTTGCCATGTGTTGCCACAACTCATGTGCAGTCAAGGAAAGCAACAGAAGGCCCTGGAAGCTTCTGCGTGATACTGAGTGTGCCCGTTTATTGAATGCAGAACGAGCACTAGTCACTAGTCACTAGAATGAGCAATGCCGCAGTAAAGTGTCAGCATGATGCTGCATGCGCGTGTATGGATTTGGAAAACAAAGGCAAAATGTCACTGAGCTGCTTGTAGCGATCCCAGTCGGCACCGTATTTCTTGGAGCACCTGACTTCGTCACGCCAGCATCGATGGCAGTCCATGAGCCAAAAGTAGATGCCTCAGCTTTGCATGACTATTAGGTGCTATGATGTGCTACGTAGTTACTAATTACAAGTAAAACTCCACCCGCGGAACTTTGACAACATCCACGGAATGAACACTCCGGGCGAGCGAAGGCACAATAAGAAATCGGGAGCCAAGGAAACGGAGAGCTGGGATCATAGCATGCCACTGCCCACCTGAGAAAACGACTTGCAAAACATCAACTCGCGCTTTCAATCTTTCCATGCCTAAACTATAATCAAGTCTGTATGCACTATTCAAAAAACGTTCGGCAAGCTGCCCGATGCACATCGTCAAATCCCCAATGTAGTTGAAGTGACGAGCCAAGCCCCAATAACCTGATGTGAGCAGCATTGACCCCTCCTTGGTCTTGATGAACTCCACCTTTTTGTCTCCGAATATGATGCGAGTGCTCCATGGTGATCTGTACTTGTCGACTGTGCCACCATTGTTCATGTGATCGCGGAAGAGGTGCTTCTCGATGTTGGTGATGCGGAAAAGGATCATGCCAAAAACATACATCAGAATGCCAATGAGGGCAAACATGTAATTCTTTGTGATGAACCCGTTGCTTGCGCCTCCTTGCACTGCCAGAAACCCCATGAATGAAATCGGGTAGTAGCGGCTAAGAAAGCCCCAATCTCCATAAGTCAGCATGAAGCCAAAGAGATCATGACGAATGTCTGTGGTCGTCAGGTATGCTGGCTCGACTAAGTTGTAGTCAAAAATATAATACCTGAATTGCAAAGAACTGTCCATGGATAACGCAGGTAGACCTACTTGCACCAAGTTTCGCCACGCAGCAACCCATACCACAAATTGTTGTATCTTATCTTCTGCTTTTGCGACGCGATGTCTTGCATGCCAGGGTTCCAATGCGCAAAAGTAATGAACACTGCTGCCGGCCCGATGTTGGAGAAAGAGCCTGCAAAAGCTAGCAACACCTACCAAGCCCCTTCGCTACAGGGCTGACAGCCAATCAGAAAAGCTCGGGCAAAAGGCAATCTAGAGAAAAAAAACAACTTTGCGAATGATAAGCCTTCAGCATCACAGAAGGAATCTGCGTTGGTAAACATCTTACCAATTTGCTGCGACTTCGCCTGACAAAAGGTGCACTGCGGGACGTCGCCAAAAGTTAGATTTTACAGTATCGACTATAACTGCAAAGCATGAACATCCAATTGTATAAAATAAAACATATATATATATAACTTGAAGAGACGGGGGTGGACGAAAGGTAGCATGTCTGCGGCTGCTGATGCTGCTGCTGGTTGCTGGTTGCTGCTGCTGCTGCTGCTGCCGCTGCTGCTGCTGCGGCTGCTGCTGGTTGCTGCTGCTTGCTGCTGGTTGTTGCTGCTGCTGCTGCCGCCGCTGCTGCTGCTGCCGCTGCCGCTGTTGCTGCTGCTGCTGGTTGCTGCTGCTGCTGCTGCTGCTGCTGGTTGCTGCTGCTGCTGCTGGTTGCTGCTCCTGCTGGTTGCTGCTGCTGCTCCTGCTGGTTGCTGCTGCTGTTTGGCTGTTGCTGTTGCTACTTCTTGCTGGTTGCTGCTGTTGCTTGAATCCTGAAGGCTGCTGCTGCTTTGCTGTCCCCCACTCTTTCAATTTCGTCTGCGCAACGCCCCAAAAACTGAACGAAAACCAAGGGTTGTGGAGGCCAAACTTGTGTGAGCTTTGGTGCTTTGCTGCTGCTGCAGTTGCTGTCGTTGCTACTGCCACTGGTGCCACTGCTGTTGCTTTCTGCTTTGCTGTGCTGCTACTGCTGCTGCTGCATTGCTGGTTTGCTGCTGCTGCTGGCTGCTTGCGTCTGCTCAGATCACCACCAAATTCTCCGCGACGCAGGGTGGAGTCGAATGGGGGGGGGGGCCCGTGGCCCCCCCCCCCCGACATTTAAAACCAACTCTTAAACCATCGAAATCAAGCGCCGGAGCACTTCACCACCCCCAATACATTTTTGCTAAAGCAAAAACAACTCAGGTAGCGTAACCGCTACCTTTCGTGATTATATATATAGAAATCAGTGGCGAAAGCCTTTGCAAACTTATCATGAACTAGCAAATGCACTGCTTGGGAAATCAACACTGGATGCAAAGGCTTGACCTTGAAGTTTCAATGTGGGCCGGCAGGTCAGCCACAGCCCTAACTCCATCGATTCCATTCCATTTTGTGACTCGGTAACCTCTTCTGCAACATTCGGAGTCTTGCAGGAGCGAGGGCCGACCTATTACTTGGTTCAAGAAACAATTCCATCCCTTTAGGACCTGGCGACCGGGTCAAGTGCTCTGCAGAATCGGAGCTGCACGGGTTAGCCAGGGTAGGAACTCTATTCAATTTGTCCTTTCTTGTTTACCCTTCATGTATTGGGCGTACTGCCCATGAGGGATTTGTGCTGACAATAAATATACGTAGTTGATGCTTGTCACAGGCAGGCTATGTGTCAGCCGTTGCCATCAAAAGCTGGAAAAGTTGCTATCAGAAAATCCAGGATAATTCTAAGTCTAGGTACCAACATTTAAAGGTCGTCTTAAGATGTCTTAAGTATAAGAGTAAGCCCTCCATGAATACTCTTAACGCACTTTGAGCTTCTGCAATGGACCGAAACAATGGTTTGTCAGCCTGTCCTCATGATCTCCGAAGAATAGAGAGTCGCCAGGTCCATAGGCTGAAGGGAGCTTGCAGTTGTAGTATGTGCTAGCCTGGGCCAAGATCATCCAACCTCCCCCTCCGAATGGACTGCGGCTTCCCTTTGCCCTTCAACAGAACTTGGGTAAATCATTGTAACTTGTAAATCTCTATCTCTCTATGTGTTCATGTATATATACAATATGGATCTCTGTCACTCCTCTTACCAGCGCGACAAGTCAAACAATATTGACACTGTGATATGCTCATTCCATGTCACGACTTGCCAAATATCAATTTCAACATGTCTGCGATTCAGAGCCAGGTTGCAAGGTACGAGATGTTCAGGATCACCCACCCAGTCAACCCAGGACGGGCGTTCCAAAATCGTTTGAGGTCAAATGGCACCTTCAAAATACCATGAAACAGCCGAGGGTTGCGCACTACACCCATAAAGTAGTCATTGAAGAAGTCCGCATAGTTGAAAACACCATGATCCTCTTCAAATTCCTGAGGCTGAAAACATTGTTCAAAAGTGCTGGCACATGCAAGGTCCGTGTGATTCCGTGTGTCACTGTGCAAAGGTGGAGTACAAGAAATGCAGTCTGGTTTCAGGATCATTCACATGGCGATTCCAGAAAATGCCGAAGTCCACATACAACCACAAGGCCATAACATAGCTCGTGATGACAGCCTCAGTCAGCAATGCTCCCATGTTCTCGAAGACGTAGTAGGGCGTGATGACCTCATACTTGCAGCACAAGTACAGGCCGATATGGCTCAAGAAGAAGCAAAGCAAGCCGTTCATGGGGTAGATCAGCTTGCGGCCGTTCTTAAGCATCACACCCTCCTTCAGCTTGCCAGGCAGAACAATCTCACCCATGGCTTGACAGGCCACCCACGTCAAAGAGACCAAAGTGGGACCCCAGCAAGGACGGATTGAAATCCCATCTGGCAATTTCCAAATGAGATCGTTCCAGAACGAGGGTCCCGGAATGACAAGGCGTCCCTGATGCATCACCAAGATTCCGTAGAAGTAGTAGATGGCAACAGGAATGAAGAAAGTCCAAAAGCCAGTCCCGATGTTCCCATAGAATTCACCCATAGGACGAGTCTGCTTCCGAGTGACTGCAACACTCTTGGAGCCCGGGGACTCGGCCTGCCTGCTCGAGGCTTTGGGCGCTGGACTGTCTGTGCGTTTCGATGGCGGCATTTCGCGTGGCTTCAGCACGCTTGAACAGCGCTATGTGCTACTGCTGAAAGTTGAGTGAAAATTGCTGCATGAGCTGTGCATGAGGAGCAGCTTCAATGATTTCCGTCCATTCAGTGCATCAGCATGGAATATCATGAATAGTATCTACTCAGCTTTATCTGCAAGTGGAACGGACACATCATAGGATGATTGGGGTGTGGAGTGATTCCCTTATGCAGAGTATCACTGCAACGTTCCCGTCTCGCACACAGCAAGATGCGAAAAAACAACAAGAAAGCTTAGGACAAATCCACCTGTATCGGTTTGCTCCACCAAGCGTAGTGATGATCAAAGCAAACGGTTCACCTGTCGGAGGAGGAAAAGGAGGGGTGCACACGGAATCAAAACATGGTCTAATACAAACCCAATAGTCTTGGAACAGGAAGAATCTAAGTTCCAAGACTGTGCAGTGGAGACACCTCGCTGAGGCTACTGAAAAGGTTTTCAATGGGTGAGTGTTGGAGGTTCCCGACTCTATATAAGTTTATATAAGTGAATGCCGAAAAATGTTCAGGCTCAGGTCCCTGCTACATAGTTTGCATGCAGCTGGGAAGCTCAACCATGCAAAGCTAGCTTGTTTGCAACCCTTGATCAGTGAGAAGGACAGGGGATCAACGAATTTGAAAGGCTGCAGAAGTGGGTGAACGAGGCAAATCATCTGGAAGTGCGAAAGGGCCGTGATTCTCTTCCAGTTCCGTTCGCAGGTCGCCACTTTTCCCGACAAACCCCAAACGCGCTCAAATGCTGCAGCATTGCCCAAGCAAGGGCACGACAATGTTGCAAATCAGAGTGGGGGGGCAAGCGAACTGATCCACCAATTTGCTGCCCGTTGCGTACCCCCATGCAACATCAAAAAATTCTTGAACAATCTTGAACACTTGAATTGCAGTGACAAGTGGAGGGCAACCACAAACTCTAGCAAGTCCCAAACGGCCGGACAGGAACTACAGCCAGCAAGATCTTATTCTAATGCACAAAGAAGGGCAATGGCAAAGGCTTCAAAGTGATTGGAGGACTGTGCTGCACTCACGAACAACACGACAATCAGCAAGTGCATGAATCGGGGAGAGATGGACGGGACAGGGAGGGGGGCCAAAGTGACCGTCAAGGTTCTTGAACTTGGATAGGATGAGTTGAGAATTCACATCATGCAAGTAGAATCTCTATAATGCAAACATAGGATTAATAAACCTCCCCTAGTTAATCCGAGCCCCACAAAGTGTCCGAAAATTGCCCAAATTAAAGTAGTATTGGTGGCTGATTTCCCCACCAATGGTCTAGTTGGGCAGCAGAACCCCCCCCCCAGTTAATCCGAGCCTACACAATCCCAATTTTTTAAGGGATTTACTAGTGGAGGTCTATTAAACAACTCATCAACTCTCAACTCATGCTGCTGATTCAGCAAGTCTCACCTCATGCTGCTCATCTCTTTTTCAGCTCATCAAGGAGGTCTGAGTCTTTGCTCATGGCTTGCACATCTGATACTTAGCATCAATGGGCTTGCCAGTTCTCTTATGCTCCCTCCTCATCCAGTACGCAAGGCACTTAGCCTCATCACACCAAGCAGCCTGATTGAAATCTGCGTGAGGAGCAAATGCCTACACCTCTAGCCACAATCTCAGCTCTTGCCTCATGGTAGTCATGAGGGATCTCATTAATCTGGATGGTTTTCTTCTCATCCAGGCATGCTACTGCTTCCTGCATCAGGGAAGTCAGCTCCTCATTCTTTTTCATCCTGGACTTTGCCAGCTGATGCTGCTTATGCATCTGATCAAGGTTCTTCTTGCCAAGCTGAATCAATTTCTCATTGGCAAGCTCAAGATCTTTCCTGATCTTGGAACCTCGCTGGCCAGCTGCTTGCTGATCTTCTTCAATCCTTAGATTGCAAGCAAATCACTCCCATTCGAAAAGAGGGAAACTTCACAGCTTGCGCAACAAAAAGCAAAGCTGAGACACTGGATTGCCATCAAAAGGCCATTTGGAAAGGAAACCCTAGCTGATGCATGGCCATAGCCAAGGTGGTTGCTCATCTCACTCTCCATGAAGCTCAACACAAAATGGCCACACATGTTGCTAGTGGCAGGCTGCCTCACTTTCTCATTCTCTCTCTTCAATGGTGGCCCATTGAGCAGGTCCTCATCAATGCATTCACAAGCCAGCATCTTGCCCAAGACCTCCTCAGCCATGGAGACACAGCTGACACAGCCCTGCTGCATGTTCTCCAACCTCTGTCTCATTTGCAGATCCCCTCATCAGACTGTCATAGTATTACCTGACTTTCTTCCTTAGCATATCCACCACTAGCAGGGTCCAATGGTTGCCTGCCATCAGAGGACACAAGAAGACTTTGTTCTTGTCCTTCATCTCATGCACCAATGCACGCAAACAGCTCTCATACTCCACCTGAGCCTGCTCATTCACTAAGCACTAAAGAAGCTGTGGGAAGAGCATGGTGGTGCCATCAACTGGCCCCAATTGCTTGCCCTTGCTCATGTACTGAAGCATCAGCCATCCATAAATCATTGTTTGTGCTTCTAATCCTCTTCGGGGGGCACTTGTTACCAAGCACTTCAACTGGATCCCATGACCCTTGCTCATCTGCATCTTCTCCAATGGTTCCAGCCTCAATCAGAATATCTTTCTTATGCGGCCTGCTCAGAGTCATTTGTGGCCAGTCCCATTTCTTCTTGGCCTCATGGTCTTCAATCTTTGCAACTACTCACGCCTGATCCACGCGAGCTTGGCTGGCACAAGCTTGTTGACCTCATCAAGCAGGACTTGCCACTCATGGTTCCCAGTGGCCATGACAGTGCCTTGTCAACCAAAAAGGCTCATGCCTGCCATATCTTTCGCAACGCGAAATACTCCAGCAGCCATTGGTTGCTTGGAATCAGGAGCTTTGGACTCATCTGTCCCTGGTGGTGCCTCCATTGGTGGTGGCAACCAGGGAGCATCTGCTGGTGTCTTAGCCTCATCTTGTTTTTGCTTCTTTTTGTTCAAAGCCACAGCTGCTTGCCTTATCTCACCCTTTTTCTTATTCTTGCTGGCCAACTTTTGCTTTGTCAAGACTTTTTTTCTGGCTCCTCTTTTTTGTCAATGCTTTGGATGCAGGTGTCACAGTCCTGCTGCTAGGCACAATCTGCTGCATGGACTCACGCCTGCTCTTGCTTTGCAAGGTGGCTCTGATTTCTTTTCTCTCATCATCATGCAATTTCTTCGTTGCATGGTTCCTCAGCTTTTTCTCATTTCTCTTCTCTCTCATCTTCTCCCTTTTTTGCTTGGCTTCTGAGTTCATGCCTGCCTCTCTCTTAGCAAGCTGCCTTCTCAAGCCCAATGAGAGTTGGAAGTGGCCAGCCTGCATCCCCTCTGGTTGGTGTACCTCATCCAGCTCCATCACCTCTGCCTCATCAGCTGTAGCTCCACCCGATGAGGTCTGCAAGCTCTTTTGCTCCTTCCATTCTATCCCATATTGGCTCAGCAACCTCATTTCCACCATTCTTGATCCACGCCATGCGACTTTTCAACCATGGTGCTTCGCATCCCCTTGCACCATGCCTCCTTCTGCTACTTCAGAGATCCATCCTTCTCAGGCCTCATCACAAGCATTCCATTGCGCCTCAACCCTGCAAGGACCCAGCTCTTCTTCTCGTTGCTTTGAATCATGCGCTCCATTGCCCCATCTATCACAGCAGCCACATCATTGATGCTCATTTTGTATCGGTCTGATGGCACTGCTTCATCTCTTCTCATCCTCTCCGCTCCTTGTTTCATCTTCATGTCTACAGCTGATCGCACTTTGGTTTTGCACCATGGGCGAAGTCAGTGTCTGCCAATTGTAATGCACTGGTCATTTTGGCCATGACACTGCATGGCGCCTGGTGGCTCATGAATTGCATCTTCCTCACATCTGCTAGAAATGCAGCCCCAAAACAGTCACGCTGCCACAGGCTCATTGGATACTTTTTAGCCTGATCTCTCACCTGCCATGCCATCAGAACACTGTCCATGTTTGAGCTTGGCTGATGCAGCTTTTCTCAACTTCCTCCAGCCCTCCAATGTTCTGCCCACCTTCTCACCTGCTCTGTGTGTCCTCATCTGGCCCATGTACACAAAGGTTTCTGTCTCAATCCATTCATCATCCTTAGAAACGTTATCTAAGGGCGCATAACACCATGGTTCCTATCAGAATCTCATTGCATCATCTCATCAACTCTGCTCTTCAACCCCGATAGTTCCTACCAACCCCAATGGTTCCTATCAAAATCCCATTCCAACACCCCATGGTTCCTATCAAAATCTCATCCCATCAGCCCTCTTTTTCAACCCCAATGGCTCCTCCCAAGCATGGACCTCATCATTCCTATCAACCCTCATGACCACCCCTCCCAATCACCACAAACTCTTTTTTCTAGGGGCTGCCACCTGCTCCTTACCAAGCTAGTGGAAAATTACCCCATGCTCATTTTGAGCTCATGGCCATTCTTGGCTCATGCTTCTATGGCCTCATGGCCTGATGGACTTGCCATGCTGGAGGATGGAACTCATGGCATCCCTGTGTGGCCATTGGCTCATCAGCCTGCTCATGGCTGGATCGAAGTTCTCATTGCTCTCCAGCTCACAGATCTCACAGAGCTCATGCAGCAGCCAATGCCTGAATCCTCAGTGGGGTAAGCAAAAAAGCAAACTAAACAAACTTATCTTCAAATAAAGAAACCCTATCAACTCATCAACTCTACCCAAAATCTTTCAAATCCATCCAGTTTGCTCATCTTGTGGTCTCCCCGACCATCTCCTCATATGTGCTATCTGCAGGCTCATGGATCTGGAACATCTGGGACTTCATGGCTGCTTTGATGTTCTCAACCACCTCATGGATCAGCTCATGTGACATCTTGCCAGCATCATTGTAGTGCTCATAGATCCCACCTCACGCACAGGGAATCCCCCCTCCTCCACCAAAAAGATATCACCCACCATACCCCTACCAAAGCAACCAAAACTTAAATCCATTCACTGCCAAAAGGACT